AGAGTGATATAAATATTTATGTAACCAAATTAACAAATTTAGGTTTTATAATTTGGATGATATAACATTTGTGGAAACCAAACAAAAATGTTTATTGGGGGTCTAGATATACCAAAAATAACAACATTTCACATAGGTACATATAATTTTAATAATAAATAATTAAATCACAAACAATTTTTTTTATTATTAGAAGATATTACTTATAGTTGAATGGCTTCCGGGTTTATAAACAATAGAGCGCTATAAACATTAGTAATTTTGTGAATCATCTAAAACAAAACTTGGTTAATCAAACTTCACACATTTGTATTATAACGTTAAGGCAAGTAACTTTTCAACCCACCCAAATAAATAAATTGTAGTCTACCAGAAATATATAGGCATTGATTTGTATTTGTTCAACACTGTTAAGCATAAAAATGGCCATTGCTCTACGCGTTGCTACATTCCAAGATTCCCATCTACATCTTTGCAACGCAAAGGTTATACTATCGTTCTGAAAATTAGTTTTAAGGGTATTATATATATATGGGTAAATATATTGAGATGTCCCCCAAGTTAAAATGAATATTTTTTATTTTTGGTTGTTTCACTGTTTGTCTAGAATGGGGTTTTTGGGAAGCCACCAGGTCCAGTAATAACATAACATAAGTGGTTCTGCACTAATGTATACATTTCTTAAAATTCTTATAAGAATTGTAAGAAATCATACATTTTGAATATTGGAGCTTCACGGAAGATAGCTTCACGGAGGTTAGGATTTCGTATGTTTTTTTTAAACATCCCTTTGAATATTTGAAATAAGTTATTGTATCTTTTGACACCTTAATATTTTTTTAAAATACAATTGTACAATGTACATACATCAAATATTTATAAAAAAAAATTCACACTTCACTTTGGATAGGTTTTTAAATAGCAAATTAATAAAATTAAACTTTTGAATTATAAAACAGCAACACTCTCATCTGATATTTTTAGTATGCTTTTACTACCTCAGATATGTGAAAACATATAGGTTAACCCAGAAAGAGTAACAGTTACGGAGGATAGGTTTTAGACTTTTAAAACATTGTAAAAAATAATTAATTGCGGTTAAAAATCTGGAACCTGAGCTGTCATATCCACTTAATTATGAAAGATCAAAACACAATAAAAGTGTAGGTCTAACTCATTTAGTTTTATTAAATATCACGGGGTAACACCATCGGGGGACATTTCGTGAGATTCACCCATATAACGAAGTTTACTTACAAATCCTTGAAAAACAACTCCACAATACAAATAGGTTAATGCAATGATAGCGGATTCAAACAACATAAGAGTTATTGCTATGGGATTTGACAGTCCTCCGAACTAAAAAAAGGCCATTAAGTAATAAATAAATATGTCAAGAGCCAAAAATGGTCTTTAAAACTAAGAATCAATATAATTATTGTCTATATCAATCAGTGGCGGCCCGTGACATTTCATTTTATCATCGAATAAATGGAAAGTTCAAAAGAAAGTCAACAATATCGGTACAATTTCTCACCGTTATATCCATAATGACTAAATTCACATAAATCACCAAGTTCAATTAACTAAAATCACAGAATAAACCACTTACAAAAGAATCATAAAATAGACAAACTCATAGAAAAAGAATAAACAAAATATTGCGTAAATAACCACAGATTTGTTCTTTAAACAGTTCAGAATTTTATAACCAAAACAAACCTTAAGAAGGAATCTGTATATATTTTATTGGTTACTGTGATGGATACAAGATGGCGATAGTGTTAAAATATGTTTATTTTAGAATAGAAATATAATTTCGATTAAATCGATTTATTATAAGAAAAATAATACCATTTATTATTTAATTTTGAAAAACTTGTGAAGTATAATTTATCTAAAATTCCGCAACAGTGTTGCCACAACACCTGCTTATTTCCTTGGATGTAGGCGTGCCTGCCTCGCGTATGCTAATACGAGAGAAGGAGACAACTATGATATCGCATTGTAATAGAACGAGACAACAAGGCTAACGCCAATCGTGAGTCTAAATTAGTTCAGGCATGCTTCTGAGCCAATCATCTAGCTATAAATATTAGTTTAAATTGCGGTCGTTTCAAATTCAAATAATTTAAATGTTGCTGGGTATTCCACGTATAAAATCAATCTATTATTTCACAATTCATGTAATCCAAATATTAAAAATAGAAAGTAAAATATTTAAATTATACTTAATTTTTTAATTCTCTATGATGAGGCACTGCCTCACCTGCCTCCCCTGACGGGCCGCCACTGATATTGATGCATTGTCAACTTACCAAACCTAAAATAAACAGTAAACTGATTTGTGATAACATACACCCAAATAAATGGACCACCAGAACATTTTTGTGGGATTCGTTAAAATCTTTTGCAACCCTAAAATATGTTCCAATTATTATCTTTATAACCAAAATATGCTATCAGCTTACAGATTAAGCTTAATATGATAATCCACTGCTTTGCATATCGTTCTATATGCTTTCCTTTGATATGGCTCATAGTCCACTAACTGTTCTGCCTTGATGTGTCGAAAATTTTCTCCAATTCTTTCCAAAGAGTCATTAATAAGCATGTACTGAATTTGTAGAAAGGTTGTAAAATACAGCAATACAAAGGCGTATGAAATAATTGTGTAAGCCATGATAAAAATTACCGAGTAATTCACAATGCTTAGAAGAAGAAATAGAAATGGTGGGAGATTTCGCAAAAAAAACAATATCGAGTGCATAGTCGTGCAGGGGTCTTGAGGTTTAAAGGGGAGTAGAGATATAACAACCATATACACGAAAAAATAGTTAACAATTATGGCTCTCTTACAGAAAGTGTGCAACTCGGTTATCTGCTTATAGGTTTTCGGACTGGCATTTGAATTTCCAACCATTCTTATTGATTTTGATGTATAAATTTCGCAAGTACTTCTGCATCGCAAATATAGATATACTCACTGCTGCCGTCTAAAAAAAAAATAATTATTTATCGAGACATTTGCGTTGGTAGTTTTTAGTGGAAGAAGTACGAGGTGTGTTCAGAAAATATCGGGAATTTTCGTTTTTTGAAACAAATATTTATTTATTCGTCTACATTAATGTTGTCGCCTTCAAAATAGTCCCCATTGGATAATATGCACATGTGCCAGCTCTTCTTCCAATACTCGAAACACTTCTAAAACTCGATCTTTGGGATAGCCTTTAGTTCTTTCAGCGATGCGCTTTTAATGTCATCTATGCTTGCAAAACGACGGCCCTTTAAGGTTCTCTTTATTTTTGGGAATAGGAACAAGTCAGAATCATTACAGTATTGTTTTTGGCCAAAAATTTTGTTCAAAATTTAACAAATTTAGAACAAATTTTGCTGCCACGCGTTTCATACCCAAAACTTTTGAAAAAATTTCATGGGATATGCCAATCGATATACCAACATCATCAACGACTTCTCTGATGGTTTATAACCATTTCTTCCACTTTTTCCATGTTTTTATCGGTTGTTAATGTGCTTGTGCGTTCGGGGCGTTCGTCATCTTCAACGTCTTCACGGCCCTCTTGGAAACTCTTATACCACTTGTAAACTCTTGTTTTACTTATAGCAGACTCACTATAGGCCTTTGTTAACATTTCACAGAATTTATTTCATATTTTAAGCAAAATTGGATACAAATTCTTTGATCCATTTCTTTTAACGAACGAAAAATCGCCGAGCTAATAAAACACGCCTAACCTTAGAGGCTGCCACAGATAAAGTAAACAATGAAAACAGCTAAAGTTTTGATCATACTTCGGGGGCATGTATACCAACATAATAAAGAAAATTTTATGACAACCAGTCCCTCCAAACCCGCGAAATTTAACAATTACCGTTATTTTCTGAACACACCTCGTATATGTTAGTATAAAAAACTTGCGCTTTTGTCGATATCAAACAATAAAAGTATTTGTTTTAGTCAATCTTCTAGTTTTCAACGATGCCAATATTTAGGCTTGAACTCCCCTCACTATAGGAAGGTCCTTGATTTTAATTGTTAAATGCATGTTTCAATAATTAAAATCAATCAAATCAAATTAAGAGATGCAGTTTTCTTGTTAAAATCCCATTTTTTTGGGCTAAAAACCGTTTTCTTCATTCAAAAGAGAAATATATTCCGAAGAAATATTTTTGGTTCTTTCAGTATAGGTAAGAATACTTACGAATGTATATAAAATGAAGGGAACGCAAAATCTAACCAAAATAACCAACTTAAAATTAAATATGAAATAGTAAATTAGTAGTAGAGCATTAAATGTACAGTAAAACATCATAACAATGACAGCTTTCCGAAGTCCAGTTTCGAATGGAACCAAAGGAATATTAAGAACATACGCAATATTATCATCTAAAAAATATTTTTTTAAATACAATATAAATAACAAAAAATACATACTACATGTATACATAGTTACCTGGATGTCTTTTGTGATCTTTAATATAAGTTATAATACTTTTAAAAAAGGCTAAAACTAAAAATTATTAAATGAAAATGAAGTTTTATATAGGATGTAGATAAATAACTTACATGGAAACATTTTGCATGAGAAAACAAAAAATGTATAAAAAATGTTATATTTTAAATTAAAAACTAATTATATCTTGTCCCCCCCTTAATAAACAAAATACAATTACTACAATCTAAAAACATTAAATCAAAGTTTTAACCTTTAATTTCGTAAATAGGTCGACAAATTACAGATTGATGTTTGCTAATAACAACTTTAATATAATTAATTATTTTATCAGGTATATTAATTTTTATAAAAATTTATACAGGGTGACCCACAGCAACAGCAGACTTAAGGTGGAAATAATTAAAACTTTATCTACACAACAAACTTTGTTGTTCACTTACAAGATATAATTTACATAAATCAACATATATTTCTTAGGAAATGACGTTGCAGACAAAAACATTACAAACCAAAACCTATATTATGTTTATGTTTAGTTTATTCAATATTGAAATGAAAATGTGTACTTCACAAACGCTTCTTCTTTTATGCATTGGTAAGTTTTCTTAATATTTTTGTAATTCAAATATTATACAGGGTGGCATTTAAAATAGGTAGATTTTGTCTAAAACATTGTTTTATATTTGTAATAGATGGCGCTGTAATGAAAAAAAAACAATTTTGTTCGATTTTTCTTCTTATACGATTCTGCAATAATTTTTCTATAAAAACATCACTTTTTTGGTAATAATTATGTTATTAAATTAAATCTGATTTTTTAAGTACCCACGATTTTTTAACTAATATTTAAGTTTCCTTTGGTTTAAGTTTTATACATTATTTCATTCGGTGATAATTATCAATTGCGCACCATGGCCACTTTTTATCTGCCAGCATTAAATCCTTTAATTTAAAGGTTTAAAAACTGTTTAAAATGTATGTTTCAGTTTTTAATTTAACTGAAGCCCTGGTACTGGACACTTGTTCATCTTCACAAATATATAGTAAGAAATTATACCCATGTATATTATTTAGTGAATTAATTTTATTTATCCATTTATCTAGGCAAACATGCTTGTGAAGATGAAGAAATGGTGTTATCCTGTCCCAAAGACATGGTCATTAAAGTTTCAAGTACCCAATATGGCAGAACTAGAACCGATATATGTCCAGGACCAATACACAATACATCTTGCAAAGCTCCCAGCAGTCAATTTATTTTGAAGAAAGCGTATAGAATTACAACTTCAGTAATTATTTTAATATTGCTGTAACTTCATTTTAGTTGTTCTGGAAAAAATGAATGTACCATAAGAGCTGACAACGATATTTTTGGAGACCCATGCTTGAACACATTGAATTATTTGGAAGTGAAGTATTGCTGTATATTTTTAATAGCCCCCAACCCAGTGGGCTGTGATTCTGCACCTCAAGGTAACACTATTATGCCCGGTACTGATGAGACTTCTCACTGTTTTAAGTTTGATATACATACATGTATATTTTTTAGTTGAAACTGCTTGCAGTTCCAAAGTTTTAAGTCTTATCTGCCAAGTGGGTACATTGAAAGTATTGAGCGCGAATTATGGTAGAACCGACTCAGATACCTGCCCATACGGTCCAATTGAAACCACGAATTGTCATGCTGAAAACTCCACCGAAATTGTGTCAAAGAGGTATGAAAAAGTTAATTAAAAAATATGGTCTGGTACCTACTCGAGTACACGTTTTTAAATTTTGTACTTTTTACTGTGTGATTTTTTTTTCGTAAGCCCTTGTAGCTAACTACTACTCATGGGTCCTTTTCTTCTGTTTTTTTTTGTACTTCTCGAGAACTAACTGTTTACTTTTACTGAAAACATAAACTGTATTCTAATTTTTAGGTGTAATAGCAGGAGTGAATGCAATGTTTTTGCGGACTACCATGTTTTTGGTGACCCATGCTTTGGAACTTTTAAATATTTAACCGCTCAATTTTGTTGCAAATGGGATCATTAATTAGTTAATGGAAACTTGGACCCTGGACCAATACAAATGTTAAAAAAAGTTCAAATGTTCAAGTTGTGTTTAAGTGTTTAAGTAAATAAACACCAAATGGGTACTATGACTATTTATTGCTTTATAATTTATAATCACAGCTAGTCGCTTAATTAAGTAAAATTGTACTTAAATACAAGTTAAACAAGTTTAGAAATAATAAAAACAATCCAAATCAACACCATGCTGCAGGTTAAGGCTGGACTTGAGTTCAGGATTACACTGCCGACAATTGTAATTCGTCCTTGCACTTCGGGATACACGGGACTGTATTTCTCGAGGTACCACTGAACAGTGTCCACATCGTTTAGGTCTTCGGTTTTTTGGTTGAAACTCTTGGTCTTCAGGATTGTGTGGCCATCTCCACCTTCCGTCAAAAAGCTGATGGACACAACGTTGTAGGTCCCTTTAGGGTCCAAATCAAGGTACCTAGGTATCCAGCAGTTGCCACATCTAGCTTTGACGTTGCTGATTCTGTGCATGGGAGGTTTGGACCAATCCACGGTGTACTTTAAGCCCGATACTTGTAGGAATTCACCGCGTGAAGAAATGCCATCGAATCTAGCACCTTGCTCCAAAACTTGAAGCAAATCCGCTCCCAGAATCTCAAGCGTTATAATTCGATTGTCGAAAGGTAACGCCCCCATAACATCGGCTCTGGTTATGTTACCATTGGCGACAGCCGGGTCTATGCTGTTCCTAATGCCACCACCATTCACCAAGCCTATTGGCACTTTCGTCCAGAATTTACCACCGGTTAATGAAGCGACATATTGCACCAATGAATCTGCTAGGAGGTTGCCAAAGTTGCACTCCTCCATCCTACATCTATTAGCATCGCCGTCCAAAAGAACTTTAGTTTTTCCGATGACCTGTTTGCTGAGCTCTGCTACTCTAACTCTGTAAGGCTCTAACATGTCCAGCACGTCTTTATCCTGTGGAATGGTGTGATCCAGTAGTATTGGTTGACCATAAAACTCAACCAAGTCGCCTTGATCATTGAAAGTGACGTTTAGAACCCCCATATACTTAGTGTAAGCATAGGCTTGCACCACGGGTACCTTTTTACCCGATTTCTGCGTGATCACTTTAGGGTACATATCTTCCGGCGTTTCCAAATCTGGGGCCTTCCCGTTCCAGAGGAAAGTGTTGGTGTGCCCGCCAACAACAACATCCACGAGCGGTACTTTAGCAGCGATTTCTTGATCCACAGTAAACCCCGAATGACCAAGTGCTATAATAACTTTAACACCTTGTTTATCCAGACGCTCGCTCTCCTCGATCAACGAGTTTATTTCGCTGCTGAATATAACAGCCCTGGTTTGGGATATCTGGATGGTTTCCGGTGTCAAATAGCCGATAATGCCAACCTTAGTGCCTTTAACCTCGAGCACCACGGATTTTTTCACCAGATTCACCAACGATGGTTCGTTGGTGAAGTTCAGGTTTGCTGCTAGAACTGGGAACCGTGCTTCCTCCAGGAACGGTTCCAGGCCATCTGGTGAGCCGTCAAACTCGTGGTTTCCAAGCGACTGAAAGTAGAAAGTTTAAAATTTTTAAACCCATATTTTTATCCATTGATATAAATGGCGCTTTAATTATTTTAAATAAGCAAAAACCTCTGTTTACGACATTATACAGCCCGTTTAGAGTAAAACCGATTATACGGAAACGTATGGGGCGTGGCCTCGCCTCCCTCCAACGCGCGACACAGTAGCTAAGCAAATAGCTTGCATCGCTAATGAGATTTTTTGCATTATTATCATTTAATTTTTATAAATATTTTATGTACAATTGCATTTTCACATGGGGGACATCTCAATATATTAACCCATATTTACCATGGCATCAGGTTTCAGCACGTTCAAAAAATCCACGCATATTTTCCATTTGTGAACGCTGTACCAAACGGTACCAGCGTACGTGTCGCCGGCATTTAAATACAGAACTTCAGGAACTTCACCTTTTGCAGCCTTGCTTCGAAAATCTCTGATGACATGCGAAGTCCTTGCAAAACCACCGTAACAGCTTAAGTTTTTGTTGCTCTCCTTACAAGTACCTAAAATGTACCACTTTAATTCACATTTCCAAAAAACTTGCCAAATCAATTTGCTAGCTAGGTACTTGTATTTGAATCATAAAAATAATAATGTAATTATTTTTGCTGTGGATTATTTAAAATTAAATACCATGAAATTACTGGTTTTAATGTTCAATGATAATATTTGTCACCTTGTCTTTATTTATATTTAATTGTAATAAAAATAAAGATATATAGATAATACTACGTTTATTTCAACTAATATTGATAACATTTCATTTTTAATAGTGAATAGTAGCTATCTTTTGACTGAAGACTAAACAACAAAGTAAATTAACAAAACAATGAAAACTTTCAAAGGACTGACTTAAGTTTAAATTAAACTTCAAAATCAATTAATGCAACAAGTTGGCAGGGCAAAGAACAGGTCCGGACTTCACAGAATAATTAAGCCACAATAGAAACAATCGAGATATTTTTACCTAGGTTTCTCAAAATGAGGGTTCTGTGAATAAGAGGTTGCCAGATTGTGCCACATACATTAAAATTAATGGGTTTCGTGTATATGTAATAAATTTTCACATGCACTAGTTTTAATGAATTTGATACGTTGGTATGTGGTAGCAAGTAAACTTGATAAATCAGCAATTATTAATAGCAATGTATTTTTAGATTGGGTTATGTAAATTCAATAAAAATCCACAAAAAAATGCATTTCTAGTAAATGAGTTTTCTAATTTTTGTATATCTATGTAAATAAAATTACCTACCTACTACCAAATTTTATTTATAATACAAATTAAACAAACCATTGTAAACATTTTAAAGATAACAAAAAAATAACGTTGTAAAATTAAATAATATTTATCAAATATAAGAAAAATAAACATAAGGTTTAAAATATCAAAAGTCACATACCTGTATTTTTTGACGTTTCCTCGAATCTAGAGTGCATATCATTGTTGTGCAGCAAAACCAACTTCAAATTTTCGCAGCAAATGCCTGCTAGGAAAACAAGCAAAAAAACAATTGGCACTGACCTTAGCATCGCGACTTAAGTACTAACAATAAGGCTAGAGACTGAGCATTGTGCGCTTAACGCGGAAATGTTGCAACGCCGCTTGCGCATTTGTTTTTAAATTTTACTTTCTTCTCAGAAGGCTTAGCACCTAGATTTTAAAAGATCTGAAGCTACCAAGTTAAATGATCTAATCTATGATAATTTTATTTTAAAAGTTATTACCGCGTTATCACAAATTCCAAAAATACTGGAAATTTTAAAACCCCCAACCAAAAATAAGTAATTTATGAATATGTATTAAATATTTTAAAACTACATATTTTAATTAATTGCATAACTGGTTAGTAGCGCCATCTAGCGGCGAGTAGAGCAACTTTTATCGTCAATAAAGAAATTTACTTATTTTTAACAATTCAGAATACAGTAGATGTAGCACAACATTTCATACAAATAATAAATAAATTTTACCTTTGGAAAACACTATTCTCCCAAATAAGGATTTATATGTTATTTATTCACCACTTTATTAAAATGCAGGGGATTACCAGTGGTGTATCACCACCCTTATTTTTGTGTTATAAAACAAATATATTTACCTGATACGCTTGTGGTTTACGAAAGAAAATTTTATATAAAAATAAGGGAAGGTAGAAAATCCATTCGTAGTTATGTGGACATTCTTCTATATTTTAACCGTGTCTGTTGGTGTAAATTCGCTAAATTATTTAAGTTATATTCATGATGGGTTAGATAAAAATTTAAATTATTTGGAACATAATGTTAATAGAGTCAATATTGACTGCACTTTAGGTGTAGTTTTCGCAAAAGGTAACAATTTTAATGTACCAAATAATAACAAAACAACAAAAATTTTACAGTATTTTTAGAAGATGTTCAAAACTTTGATTACCCAACGGAAAATTTGTTTTCAAAAATGGATTCAATAATTAAAAAATCAAAAGAAAGGTTTATAAAGGAAAACTCCACACTATGGGGTTTGTACAAAATATTTTGTTGTATGGAGAAAAAATGTAATGTAATATTTTAGCAGTTGAAAATATCTTAAGTGAAGAAACTTGGAGGAGAGATATCACATTTAAAAATAACAGTTTTATCGACATAAATCTTAATATTGATAGAAATGTTATGAAGAAAATATTTACAGAACAAAAGTTAAACGTTTCTACAGATAAATGTTTCAAAACCATTATAACTGATACTGCAAATAAGCAGAGATTTAATTTATGTGATATTGGTGAAAATTGTTTAAATAATTATATAGAAACTGACCAGGCATCTGGGTATATTTTAACTCATAGGTACCTCACAAAAAATCGTTAGACCCATACATTTCTCTAAAAATAATTTTTCTAGATTAATGCTTCTACAGTTCATGAGGGCAAGAAAATGTTATTTAAACCAAAAAATTTTAAAACACAAAATAAAAAGTACTTGTTTTTTGATATACAGAGAGTTAAAATCAGCCGAGTATTATGGAGAATTAAACACAATTCTCGACCTAATGCTGGAACAAAGTACTTATTATACTATTATTTAATTAATGATTTAAAACGAATATTTGTAGTTGTTTTATGTGGTTACGAAGGATATAAAGAGTTCCTGCAAATAAAATATCTCGAGTTTATTCTACACAGCCAAAAATCTACAGGGTGTTTCGCTGCTTTCCCACTAAAAAATCGTGCAAAAAGGTTCAAGAAGAGCATTCAATATTTTGAAGATGGTTGTGCTGATCACACCACAGGTCTTGCTACTGCTGTACTGAGCTTATATTATAACTATGTAACGAAGCTTTAATAAATTTATGTTTATCGCTTGTATATTATTTTATTTCGATACGGAGTGTATATCACGATATCTGAGTATAGCAATAAAGAAGGTCTTATCATTTGACCTTAGCGTATTGGTAATACAATTATTTCAATTTGTGTAGTCAGTGGTATTAGTGTAAAATGGAAATAAATTTTAAGGGAAAATGTGCGTTGGTTACGGGGGCTACACAAGGTATAATTTGTAAATTATACAACAGTTTTTATACAGTTTAAAATGTGATTTTTAGGCATTGGGAGAGAGATAGCTATACAACTCCACAAAGGAGGAGCTAAGGTTATAGCGGTTGGAAGGAACAAGAATCTTTTGGGTAGAAAAACTACTTTAGTCTTAACTTAAGTCTTATTAAGCATATATTTTTTTAGATACCTTAAAAGGCGAGTTTCCACAAATAACAACCATACCTCTGGACCTCGCAAATTGGAGTGAAACTGAGAAATTATTGAACAAGGACAAAATTGGTCCTGTGGATCTTCTGGTTAACAATGCTGGGTTAGCGGTGCTAGGCCCTCTAACAGAAGTTCAAGAAAGTGATGTCGATAGGTATATAAAGTATAAATATGGTGTTTAAAACTTAAATGCGACATTTCAGGCTGCTGAATATCAACGTTAAGGCTCTTATACACGTCACGAAACTGGTTGTTGCCAACCTGCTGGCGAGAAAGGCCCCAGGCGCGGTGGTGAACGTCTCGTCGCAAGCCTCGCAGGCCGGGCTCCTGAACCACACCGTCTACTGCGCAAGCAAGGGCGCGGTGGACGCGTTCACGCGCGCATGCGCTTTGGAATACGGCCCTAGCGGCATCAGGGTGAACGCCGTCAACCCCACCGTCATCATGACGGACATGGGGCGGCTGGGCTGGTCCGATCCCGACGTGGCCAATCCCATGCTCCAGAAAATTCCGCTGAGAAGGTAAGGTAGCGCGGTCTAAGAGTGCGCAGTACCGCTGCGCACTCTTGGACCGCCTTACCTATTTTTTTAATTTTCAGGTTCGGGGAAGTCAATGAAGTTGTAGATGCCGTGCTATACTTTCTGAGTGACAAATCGAGTATGATTACCGGAACAACGCTTGCTATAGATGGCGGGTTTTTGGCTTGTTAATAAAATGATATATTAATAAAGCGTTTTTTGTTTATTTATTTATTACTTTATAGATAAAAATAATTATATTTGCCATGCCATATGTATCATATATATAGTATCTCAATTATTAAGTGAAAATGCTGAAACTAAAATTTTTTGTCTTTTGTATTTTATTTTTCGAAAACTCTGCATTTTTGGAAAATGAGGTTATGTTAGCAATTGACAAAGTGCTAAATTACATGGACAAATATCACATGGACTTAAATATTGACGCCATTTTTGGACTTACTTTAGCAGAAGGTATGTTTTCAACTAACAGGGTACTTTCAATACCCCAATAAACATATTTTAGCTCATTTAGAATTGGCACATACACATTCCAGAAATATTAGACAAAAGAAACATATTAACTCGTTTTTAAAAAAATGTGATGTAATAAAAATCAAGACGCTCCCAAATTTACCGACTACACCGAAAAAAATGATTTTATGTAAGAAAAATTGAGGGTTAGACGTCAACGTCAACGTAACATAATTTTAAATCTGACAACTTTGTACATTAGACTAGGCCAAAAAAAATCAACTATTTTTTTTTTTGAAAACTATATCGAAAATATGGATTGGGGTGACAAAAAAAAATTATTGTGAAAGTTTGAGTCCACATTATTAATATGTATCATCGCAATTTTAATTTTTTTTTTCCTCAGCAAGTTTTTGTTTCAAAACTCCCAAACCATTGAGTTTAACAAAATTGACTCGATATTTTTTTAAGAAAATTAAATGCTCTACAAAAAAGGTTAAAGTGAAATTTTCCGTCAGATGGACCGTTTCCTTAAAATCATGCCTTGAAAATTGGTATACTTTTACATTTTGATCTTTTAAATTGGAATTTTGTAATTCATGTAAAAATCAGTACCTATAAATGCCGATAAATATTCTTATGGGAAATCAAATGCTTTACAAAAAAGCCTTTTAACATTTTTGGCTAAATTCACTCTATCAAAAGTTATTCAAGGTTAAAATTTCGTTTTGACTTCAAATTTAACCTTGAATAACTTTTGATGGAGTGAATTTAGCCAAAAATGATAAAATACTTTTTTTGTAGAACATTTGATTTTCCATAAGAAAATTTATCGTTTTTTTTTCAGGGTACTGATTTTTACATTAATTACAAAATTCCAAAGTTAAAAGATCAAATTGTAAAACTAAACCAATTTTTAAGGCATGATTGTGAAAACGGTTCATCTGACGGGAAATTCCAATTAAACCTTTTTTGTAGAGCATTCAATTTTCTTCAAAAAATATTCCCAAGTCAATTTTGTTAAACTCAATAATTTGGGAGTTCTGAGACAAAAACTCGCTCAGGAAAAAAAAATCTAAAATTGCGATGATAGACCTCTTAATATTAATAATATGGACTCAAACTTTCACAATAATTTTTCTTGTCACCCCAAACCATATTTTCGATATACTTTTCAAAAAAAAATAGTTGATTTTTTTTGGCCCAGTCTATTGTACATACATTTTTTTAGTTCAAAACATAATGTTGAACTCTCCAAACTGGAAACACCATTTGAAACCGTTCAAACAAGGCCAAATCCAAAATTTAGGGTTATACACCAACTGGACTTCCACTGACATCTTGAAAAACCGCGAGGCATCTTACAAAGGTGTACCGACTGACGTATGCTTGGAAGAACTTCTATCAAACTCCAAAAAGTATTGTTTTGTAAGCCCCTTATGTAAACAAATGATGTTGGGAATAAGAAACGATACAGGATACCTTTTGACACATAGATTACTCTATATGCAGTTATTACAGCTTATAGACTGCCAAATCCCGAATATTTCTATTGAAGGTTATATTAGAGGCTTCTGCTCACTAATATATAAGGAACTAAAAACCAGTGCTCATCTAAACTACCCATATCATGACAAGTTTTTGGAACAAAGTAATATATTTTTTTATAGTGGTTGTAGATTAATATTACAACAAATATCCGTTGTAGTTTTGCTTTGTGGTCAAGAAGGCTTCGCTGAAATCCTCAAACCCCATTGGCTGAGTGAAATTTTGACATGGCAGCAACCTCAAGGGTGTTTCAAAAGCATTACAAGCACTAGAATGACAAGAAGCAGCAATGTTATTGCATTTGGTTGTAGTGATCACAGCACAGGCCTTGGTAGTGGTGTTTTGGCACTTTATTTGAGATTTTTATCGGTTTAAAATAACTTTATGTAGGCAACTAAGTTTACATGCGGGTTGCCTACTATTAAATGCGAGTAAGTAATCATGGAATGGAAAAGGAAAAACATGTGTTGAATACCTATAGTATACATACAAATAAATAAAAATTTGCAAAAAAAACTTTACCAGGTATTATTAACCTTCAATGGTCTAGGTCACATATTGCTCATTCGGTTGTACTCATAGGTATAATATATATTTCCTTATATAATATACGTACTTGGCACAAAAACTTGAAATTACATTGTGTTGATTTGTTATACACATATTGGTAAAAAATTAATTGTTAAAAAACATGTGAAGAATTTCAGAAAAATATGACTGAGTCATCAATTTCCTGGAAACACGATTATTGTAATCTGAATTTTTATGACTAATGTCAATATTTTCAATGATTCAAACAGGCATTTTAAATTCTTTAAGTGTAAATTATTTCTTTTCGTTTATAAACTTTTTTAGACTAAAGAGACTAAAATCGCGATTTTATGTAAATGGCAAGTAAATGGTTTTGGCCCGTGACTGATTTATTTTAATTTTATCTCTGGTACCTAATTAAATTTGTTGAACTCGTATATACGTATGTATATGTATGTAACGCTCTGTTTTACCAAATTAATAGGACTTCCTAATAATAAACATAAAAAAATATTAAAGAAACCATAACGAACCACCTATGTTTTAAAACTTCATTAAAAACACCTGTTGATTAACATTGGCATTGGCTTTTCAAGGACACACCTGTCAAGTAATACAGTGAACTTGATTTCAGCCATTAAAGCTTGTTAAAAAAAATTATCCTTAAAAAAAGATTAACCTCAAAAATAGGGCAAAGTATACAAATATAACTAGGTTATTATTAATTTTAAGAAAAAAAGTTATTCTTCTTTAAAGTCTAAAATCTAAAATACAACCATCAGATATAACAATATATAGATAAACCTAAATTTGAGTAATTTATATTTTTAGACACATCGTGTTTTCTTGTTTTTATGATGTCATTTTTAACGTATTTTATTATTATTAAGTACTGTGACCAAGATATTTGTTTACAGTGGGATATATTTTATCAATTATTGTTATTGCGAATATTAAAACAACACGCCAAAGAAACTGTATTTGTTCGATATTTTTTATGTTGTTCTCACACGTGAATTTTCCACATTCTACCTCTGTAATGACTAATAAATATATTTTATCGTAATAACAAACATTAACATTTTAAAAATGTATATAAAGAAAACACAAATTATAAAATATCTGTATTTTTTAATAGGTTATGGTTTGGATTACGAAGTGTTTTAAAATAATTCATTTTCAACAATTCTCTTGTTTCAATTACCTACATTTGTGCGATATGAATCTTGCTGAGAAAATAGAAAGGTCTACATCATGTAACGTTTAATAATGAAGATTTATCTTAGTTTTAGTAAATTTTGGGGAAAGTATTTTAATTTTTAGAAAAATTAATGAAACTATACATACATAAGTATACATATGTATATTTTCTCTGTTTAAAGTGGGTTAAATTTGAGTGGTTTTTGGTCGAAAATTTGGTTTGCTAATCGAGTTTTAACATATGGTCGATGATACCGAGCCAGATGCGGTATTTAAAACGTAGATATAAAAATATAAAAAATTACACTAAAACAAAACATTATTTTTGCATTTTACGGCAAAACTGTTACATATAAAAAGTGAAATGATTTTTATAGAAAACTTAATTTTCTATAAAAAATATTCTATGCATTAATCCAATAAAAAGCATAGTTTAAAAGATATAGAGCATTTATTAAAATATAACAGTTACTGTCAAATATCGACAAAACAATAGTAGAATTTATTAAATGCTCTATATCTTTTAAACTATGCATTTTTCTGCATTAATGCATAGGACTTTTTTTGTAGGAAATTGAATTTTTAATAAAACTTTTTTTTACTTTTTACCCGTATCTTTAACCGTTTTGCCGTAAAACAACATAGGATTTATTATATTGTATATATTTGACAGTACAATGTATTAAATTCTCTATATCTTTCAAACTATGCATTTTTCTGCATTAATGCATAGGACTTTTTTTGTAGGAAATTGAATTTTTAATAAAACTTGTATTAACTTTTTATCTGTATCTTTAACCGTTTTGCCGTAAAACAACATAGGACTTAGATTGTTGAAAATTTGACAGTACAATGTATTAAATGCTCTATATCTTTTAAACTATGCATTTTTCTGCATTGATGCATATGACTGTTTTTGTAGGAAATTGAATTTTTAATACAACTTGTATATTAACTTTTTACCTGTAACTTTAAACGTTTTGGAGATATAAATACCACTGACTATCTACATACATATCTTAATTTTAATATTACCAATAAATAAAGAACAATTGCATAGTTAATAGCCATGACCTTGAGAAAGGTTTCTTATCTTTTCTAAATAAAACGATCAAGCATATTGAATCTTAATGAATATACATACATGATAAACATTCAAAGGATGTAAAAATTTTTGTATTATTTTTTTAATTTTATTTTCGTTTGAAACATATTTATATATCTATTATTGTCAAGATATCAGGGACCTGGGACTATGAAAAAGTACTTTTTTTAGGGCTCCCTGTATATTCCCATGCTTTTACTTTGATTTGTTGTATAAATATGTGTATTATTAAAACATGCAAAACAATTTTTATTAGCCACTGATTATAGATACTGTAAACATTTCCCAGTGCCATAAAATCATCAATAGATAGGTATAGCCAATTTGGGCATAGACATATTAAATAACATTATTCTAGCAGCCAAATTGACGCAATACACGCAGGAAGTTGATCATCGTTTACATAACACATTAAATTGATTAAAAATCGGTGATCTTGTTTTTTCATTATTTTACTTACAATGTCAATAGCATGCCGTATCGGTGCATAATACTTTAAATGGGCCATTAAATGGGCACCAAATATGGTCATGGTTTTGGTATGGCCCCGTTTCCATACGGAGAATGTTCAACGATTTATCACTACTCTTTTTAAAGATAAACTAATCCTAAAAAGTACTTGGCTCGTTCGGTGCGGTTTTATTGATTTATTTATTTATTCCAATCGATTGAGAAAGCTAATTTCGATTTTAAATGTATTATTTAAAGTTTTATACGTAGGAAAATTATTTATGACAAAAATAACAATATATAAAACGCAATTACGTCATACTGATAATTTGTGGGACCTCGGCAATTCGAACAATTTGGAGGAAAAACGAGTTTGAAATTGTGCACTACACAAACGTAAATAATAATTTTAACCGGTGGGTTAATATTAAGGAGTCGCTAACCTTCTGACCAATATGGTTGGGTTACATGTCACTGTTTAAATATTTACAATTTTCGTAAGAACAAATATCGACGACAAGCTATATTTGGGTTTGTTGCCTGCATTTTTACAACTCACCGATTTGCAGTGAGGAGACAGAGAATTCCTATAGGAATATATTATAGCAAAAATCTTGAACGTTAACTTAAAAGTCCAGCTCAACACATGCGATTGAAATAAACTTAATGCAAATATTTTATCATGCTCAAGAATCTTGAGTCAAGATTTATATTTTTGAAAATTTCGAAAATTTAATAATATAATATTATAATATAATATTATCCAAAATTTAAAAAAAAAATATGAAATTTTGTGGAATCTGAATTGAATTTAGGAAATTGTGAAAAATTAGAAGATTTTGGAAATTTTGAATGATCTGAAAATTTTAGGAATATTATTATTAATAAGTTTTAAAAAAAATTTAAAAAAATGGAATTTGAACTATTGAAAATTTTGGGAAAGTTTACAATTCTGAAAAATTCGTAAATTTTGGTAATTTTGAAAGATCTGAAAATTTTAGAACTTTTACATAAATGTTTTTGGAATTTAAAACATTTTTAGATATTGCAATATGGAAATTTTAAAATATCTGAAAATTTCAGGAATTGTGAATAATTTTTGAAAAATTCGTAAATTTTGGTAATTTTGAAAGTTTAGAAATTTTGAATATTTTGTAAATTGGGAAAAATTTGTAGATTTTGGAAATTTTGAAAGATCTGAAAATTTTAGGAATTTTTAAGATATTAACGATTTTGTAAAGTTTTTAAAAATTGTAAATTTTGGTAATTTTGAAAGATCGGAAAATTTTAGGAATTTTAAAAAAAATTTTTAAAATTGGTAATTTTCACAATTTTTGAATGATTGAGAAATTTTAAAATTCTCTCTTTAGTTTTGGAAATTACTTAAAACATTTTTAGATTTTGGAAATTATGGTAAATTTTGAAATTCTGAAAAATTTGATCATTTTGTCAATTTTGAAAGATCTGAAAAATTTTGAAATATGGAAAATTTTAGAAATTGACAATTTTTCAAATTTTGAAAAATTCTTAAATTTTAGTAATTTTAATTTTAAATAAATTGTAGATTTTGAAAGATCTGAAAGTTTTAGGAATTTTTGGTATATTAAAAATTTTCAAAATTTTTAAAAAATTGGTAATTTTGACAATTTTTGAATGATTGGGAAATTTTAAAATTATCTAATATTTGTAAATTTTGGTTATTTTGAAAAATCTGAAAATTTGAGGAATATTGAAAATTTTTGAAATTGTGAACAAAAATTTTGGTAAATTTCGAGAAATTTTAAATTTTAAAAAATTTGTAAATTTTGGTAATTATGAATATTTTGAAAATTGTGAAAAATTTGTAGATTTTGAAAATTCTAAAAAATTTGTAAATTTTGGTAATTTTGAAAGATCTGAAAATTTTAGAAATTTTGAAGAAAAAAGTTGGTAAATTTCGAGAATTTTATAATATTATAAATATTTATTAAAAATTAAAAAAAAACAGAAAATTTTGAGAATTTTTTAAATTTAAAACAAAATTCAACAAAACAATCCTAAATATTTAAAGATCTGAAAATTTTAGAAATTTTTCATAAATATTGTGAAATTGTAAAAAATTTGAAAATTTACATCTTTTTTCGATAATTTCCTATACATTGGAAATTTTGAACGATGAGATTTGTAAATTTTTTGTGTGAACGATTTTGGAAATTTTGAGAATTTTTAAAAATTTGTAAATTTGAAAGATCTGAAAATTAAAAAAAAGGAAATTTTGAAATCATTTTAAATTTGTCCCACTATTTTTTACTTTTATGCCACTGTGCGAATTTGTCCTACCATTTATGAATTGTATCCTAATGTGCACATTACATATTATATTAAATTTATTACCTACAACATTTTTTCATTTATCCAATTACGTTCAAAATTTAATGTGAAGTTTTCAATTACCGGATTAAAATAAATTAAATGCAATTTTTTTGGTATAACTTTAAAAAACATGGAAGATCTCAAAAGATTCCATTTCAAAATAGCGATATCACCAAAAACAAATTTACCTAGGCACTTGAAGATAAAATAGTTCAGACTTATTTTTCCTATTTATCGCGTGATAAGCTTGTTATCGCTTTTTTATTAGCGTCACTAAACGTATTGTATTGTATTGTATATCCAAAATAAATCCTTATTTGGTGTTGAGATAAACATTACTTATCATAGCCACTTGAATCATCACAAAATTGTGTTACATTTACCGTTTTTAGTAAGTTCAGTATAAGGAAAAAAAATTAAAAAATATATATGATTCAACAAATCATGCAGATATTTATAATTTTATCACTACATTGGGTTTTGTGTCCAGGATTTCCTGCGTAACCACTTAACATAATGGTTTTGGTTAAAAAGTTTAAAAATACTAAAATACCACTTAATTAACCATTTAATCTATTCCAAGCAACTTACATCGCAAAAAAGAAATTTTCGATTGTACCCATGCTTTCTAATATAATTAATTCCATCCATTTCATCTCGCCATAAAATCCATCTTGGAAAGGTAAAAGTATTTTTACATGAACAAGGATTGTTTACTTTTAAAATGGTAAAGAAAATGTTCCTGTAAGTTCAATGGACGTGAAACAGTCATCTCTAAATAAAAAGATATAGGTATTTATTATCAAATTTACTGTAAAAAACATTTAAAACTTCAAGAAATTTAAAATATATTTTAATTAATTATATTTAAGACTTTCCTTGAAGATAATTATATTATAATAATTCCAAAAATGTTAAATTCATTGTTATAGATAACATTGTTAATTTTACACTTCCAAGTATTGCCGATATATTAATTAAAATTATTATCGCTATTTAATTGCATAACTTTGAAAACATAATACAGATATTGCAGATAAAATCAACGAAAATAAATTTTCTTTAAGTAATTAATACATGAAATCCGAACGATGTCCTACCCTAACCATACCAAAATGAGTCAGCCCCCAAATGACGTGGTCAGTCCACCCCTACTTTCATTTGTTTGTCTTGTCTCAAATCACGTGAGTCATCTGTTTTGTCAACAAATACAGAGTAAAGAAAAATACCATTTTGGGTGAAAATTATAGGCAAAATATAGTCGTATTATGGCATTTTATTATTCTATGGGGTAGGTATTTGATCAAGTACGACATGTCCAATATGATAATTATACTTGAAAATTGTAAAAAAAATATGAAATAGGCATTTTGCAAGCATTTATAAATAACATAAATTTTAAAGAATATAAAATTATAAAAAAATTGTTAAAATGTTGAAAATCACAAAATATCAAGTAAAAAAAATTAAGGCAGCTAACGTTAGTACATGGTCGACAGATGTATTTTCTAAAATTTTGTGTCAAAAAAAAAATAAAACTTTGAACTTTTCGAGTCATCTTGTATATTCTGGTAGGTAGGTATATCCCTATGCTATACCTAGGTAAATGTATCAATTTTCATTTTGATTACCCAGGTACCTAGTAGGTATATTAAATGTATCAATAACTATAATTTTGATAGACAGCAAACATTTTGTAAAACGCTGACTCGTAACATTCTTAATAAAATTGACCCAATAAATGAATAGTTTTTATTTTCAATAGTTAGTAAAAAATATTTTGTTACAAGTGCATAGTTAAAAAAAATATTTTCCCACTGTGCCCAAAAGAAACATTATCTTATAACAGTGGCTTTTTTAAGATTTGAATATCCGGTATACGCCCTTTCCCAGAAAGAATATTAAAATATAGATAAACATTTGCCTTATTCCATCCTTAAACTACTCAAAATGGACATTATAACAAAGGTTTTTCGTTTTTTTATAAACCTTTTTATCTTTGTTGTTCAATATTTTGATTAAAATGTTTTACACGAAAATTGTGAATAGAAGAATAGTAGAAACACCTTGTATATAGAAAGTATAAAAACCATTGAGATGTTTTATTGTAATTTTTCGTGGAAATATGGTCCATAAACTTTACAATTAATTAAAATTATTTTAGTTTCTTCAATTAAGGCTAATAAGGACTTAATTTATTAAATAAATGCGCAAAAAACAGTTAATAAAAAAGTTATTGAATTCTAACGAATGCTACAAGTCAGCAAATTTAAATATGATTCAGCAAACATATGTTATTATTAACAAATACCCAATATAGTTACCGATTGTGAGTCATTTTAACAAAATATTTAGTTTTGAATGATACGAAAATAAGAAAAACCCTGGGAGATAAGACTTTAAGTTATAAGATTTCTGAGAACATTTTAAATGCCAAACTGGGGAAAATCATAAGGAATATTTTTATCTTTGAAAGTATTACAATAAAAAAACATTTTCTTGTCCACATAAAATGCAACAAAATTAAACGCTGATTAAAAAACGCCAAAACATCTGGTGAATGGTGCAAGAAAAGGAAACCGTATGGAATTTCTAACTGTACGGTGACAAACTCGTATTTAATGAATATGTTTCACAAAATAAGTTATCACTACAATAATTGTAAACTCAAGAGTAATTTTATAGTTTTAAAGCCCATTTCTATAGGTATTAAAAGATTATTATTAAGGTAATAATCAAGTGTTTTGTTCTTGATAATGATAATTAAAGTAATAAATACACTTACAGAGATAATAATAACGCCAAAACAAATGACGAAGTTACCAACTTGAAAAAATAAATTGCAATTTTCAAAAATCCAAAAGCAACTTGATTTTCGTAGGAATAGGCCTGCTCTGCAAAACTATTGTTGCTAATAAAAAGCAGTGCAACGCGTAGAGAAGGTTGTTGTGACATAATGGATTCAAGGTCGAGGATCGAGGCCAAGATCTGCTGAAGATGGGCCTTTTTGCCGGCCGGCACGAAATCTCTTTCCCTAACCGTCGCGTTCAAGTTAGGTTAGGACGGCCGACGCGGCCTGGCCAATGGCAGGCGAGAGTTCGCTCTATGCCCATATATGGTAACGAACGTGAATGAATCGGGTAGGGGTGGGCGAGTCCATTCCATCGACGCGCAGGGGCGGCCCGCGATATTAACAATTGTTTTTGGCGAAAAATTCAAACAATAGGCCTTTTTCGAGGGTAAATACGTCAAAGTAGACGTCAAAGTGGCAAAAGTCATCGATCTGATTGATTGGATTTGGATTTGTTGGCGATATTAGTTTGAATTTTTTGTGCTGCTCACCCGGCAAAACAGCGTCACCGCTTCGAAATACCGACCGGCATCTTCCATTCGTTAGTTGATCATTGTTGTTTTGTGACGTGTCTTGTTCAATAGGTAAGAAATTCGCATTTTTCCCTTATAATCTTGTTTCTTGAGGCCTTATTTTCACCCTGTTGTGTAGTAAAATCGCCGGTTGCTTTATTCACGCGAATTATTGCCGGTTTTAGAAACGCCGGCACACGTTAGGGCGTAGCACCTGTTATGTTTTGTGGATAGTTATTTTTAACGTTGCAAGTGGTTGTTTGTAGTAAATTCAACATTGAATTCGAGTCGTTTGATCTCGAGCCAAAAGTAATAATAAATTTGCTCGACACGCCGCCTTCAAAATTTTATCAATGGGTGACGTAGAGGTGGGGCTATTTCGGGCGCCCCAACAATACTGTTATCAATCGAGATCGAAGTAATTTCTGCTGTAAAAATAAAATCATGAAAAATTTTATAGATAAAGTATGTCAGAATGTGGATGCGGCCGTCGGAAAGGGGGAAGGGGGGCAAAATCGATGAAGAACACCATATATGGCGATGTTTCTCGCCATTGGCTTGCGGCTTGCGCACAAACCGGGGTGGGGCGAACAATTATATAAATGTTGAGGAACTTTTCGAAATCAGACATTACGGTCTTGTGATATTGCAGTGCACGATAGCACAAATAACAAATTATTTATATATTTATACTTTTCTACCAAACCAAAGTAAGTTCAGTTTCTGTGAAATATCTTGGGAAAATTTGTGAAATCGTGTCGTGTGTTTTAACTTTGTGTCCTATTGGATTTTTTGTGTGACGTGGGGCGCGGCCGCCTGTACCTTTACGTAATCTCATTCGAGCAAAAAAAATCCGGTTTTTGTAACGGATTTTCATTGTGCGGCGTTTTTTTGAACCCGCTTCATTCATACAGTTACATATACGGGTTTGTTAAATTTATTGGTTCGTTGGGGAATTTTAATTATTCTTGATCTTGTGTGGGTTGGGAGGATCTATTAACGCGAAAGTACCGTTATTTGAGTTGGTGAATCTTAAATGATTTTCCTTCAATAGTTTTTTAAGAATAAATTTATTTGAGTTGGTAATACGAGTTAAACCGTTATTTCACAAATTTTCGCACTTTTATGATTTTTTAAGAAAAATTATTGTTGTTTGGTGTCATGATATTTTCGCTCGCTGAAACTGAATTTGAACTCTATTCAAAGTCGACACCCACAAGACTGGATTTTTCCTTAGTCTTCTTCTTCTTAATTCTGATCACAATTCTGTGTTCAGAGAAATGACCTTTAGCTTAATTTAAGAGCTATTTGGCCAGCACATTTTCCTTACAGTCTTCAAATTCAGTGTCGGCGAGCAAAATAATATTTTTTATCAAAAAAAAAAAAATCGATTTTTCAACTTTTTTTTTGTTTCAGTACTAACTAATCCGACAAAATGTGCGACGAAGAAGTAGCCGCATTAGTAGTGGACAATGGATCCGGTATGTGCAAGGCCGGTTTCGCCGGTGACGACGCGCCCCGCGCGGTCTTTCCCTCCATCGTGGGTCGCCCGAGACATCAGGGCGTGATGGTGGGCATGGGTCAGAAGGACTCGTACGTGGGCGACGAGGCCCAGAGCAAACGTGGTATCTTGACTCTGAAATACCCCATCGAGCACGGTATCGTGACGAACTGGGACGACATGGAGAAAATCTGGCACCACACCTTCTACAACGAGTTGCGTGTGGCGCCGGAAGAGCACCCGGTGTTGCTCACGGAAGCCCCGTTGAACCCTAAAGCCAACAGGGAGAAGATGACCCAAATCATGTTTGAAACCTTCAACACCCCCGCCATGTACGTCGCTATTCAGGCCGTGCTTTCTCTGTACGCTTCCGGTCGTACCACCGGAATCGTCTTGGACTCCGGTGACGGTGTATCCCACACCGTGCCGATATACGAGGGTTACGCTCTACCCCACGCTATTCTGCGTCTGGATTTGGCCGGTCGCGACTTAACCGACTACTTGATGAAGATTTTGACCGAGAGAGGTTACTCCTTCACTACCACGGCTGAAAGGGAAATCGTTCGCGATATTAAAGAGAAACTCTGCTACGTCGCTTTGGACTTTGAGCAGGAAATGGCCACCGCCGCGTCTTCCTCCTCTTTGGAGAAGAGCTATGAGCTCCCCGACGGTCAGGTGATCACCATCGGCAACGAGAGATTCCGTTGCCCTGAGGCTCTCTTCCAACCGTCGTTCTTGGGGATGGAGGCTTGCGGCATCCACGAGACCACTTACAACTCCATCATGAAGTGTGACGTGGACATCCGTAAGGATCTGTACGCCAACACCGTTTTGTCAGGTGGTACCACCATGTACCCGGGGATCGCCGACCGCATGCAGAAGGAGATCACCGCGCTGGCCCCGTCGACGATGAAGATCAAGATCATCGCGCCCCCCGAGAGGAAGTACTCCGTCTGGATTGGTGGATCCATCTTGGCGTCCCTGTCCACCTTCCAGCAGATGTGGATCTCCAAGCAGGAGTACGACGAGTCCGGCCCCTCCATCGTGCACAGGAAGTGCTTCTAAGTTCGTTGTTTTTATTTATATCCTTATATATATTGTCGCAAAAGCATTCCATTATCCCATTGCATTTACCACTTTGTTGTATTATATATTAAACATTACCTGCGATAGGCCACCGCCAGAGTGTCCTGGAGAACTGCCCTGTGACGACTCGTCGTTTTGTCACGTCACGTCATGTACGCAATAGGCCAAAGTATTCTTTGTATTTATTACATCTTGCAAAAATAAGACTCTTAATTATTATTATTATATTACTTTTAGGCTAATACTTTGAAAATAAAAAAATGTAAAACTTTTATTTGTACTTTTAATTTATTTCACCTTTTGTAATAAAAACATTTTTAAATATATAACAAAACTCTTTCATTCCAAATAACCACTAAAACAAATTTCCCAAACATTAAATTAGTTCGACAAACAGGTAGGAGGGTTTTAAATTTTCCGAAAAAATTTAAATTTTATTCAAAGTATAATATGAAAAGATGCAAAAGTTTTTCTGAAAATTTCTAAATTATTCCTTTTATTTTAATTTTAATTCGATTTATAAAATTAAAATTTTGTAATTTAACTTTATAAATCATTCATTATTTTGTAGTTGGACTCCTTTTTGAAAAAAAGACTAAACTAACTAACGTTTACGTTTATTTTCTTGAATCAATTTTTAATAAAGGATATTTTTTTTTGATTAAAATAATGTGTATATTTTCAAAAATAAAATTAAATTTTTTCCAAAAAAACAATTTTTCCAAGGCCTGAGAGAAAAAATGGAGAAAACAGGTTTTTTCCCAATTTTTCTGTTTTTTTGGACACTTTAAATCCCCAGTCGTGGGGTATCGCCCCATTTTTTTCCAGTTGAATTTTATTTAATTTAACACAAATAAAAATTATTTAATTAATTTTTTTTGTATTTTTTAAATGTTTTTATTTTTGTAAATAGGTATTTTATTAAACAAATTTCCAAAATATAATAGTACCTATGTACATTATTATACGAGAGATAATGCGCATAATATACTTTATACTCCAATATCTAGATAATCAAATAATTTTCAAAAATAATTTTTTGTCAGATGATTAACCTCACTTTTTACCAATTTTAAATATTATTATAGTAGCCTTTTTCTTTTATACTTTGCGCTGTTTACAATCGCAAACATGTTGTTTTTTCAATCTAAAAATTATTTTTTATTTTTTGATTTGGATGTTTTTTATTTTTTTTATGTTTTTGTTTATGTAAATATTTTTTTAAAACAAATTTGCAATACAGGGTGTAATGTAATTAATGTAATATATTAAAATGGGTGGTTTCTTAAGGTCAATTTTTTTATTTTTATATTTTTTTTCCATTTTTGTAAGATTTTTTTAAATATTTTTTTAAACCAACTATTTTAAATACAAATTAATATATCAAGCATATGTATTTAGTTGAAAGTATCAATAAAATTAACAACATTCTAAATTATTGGAAACTTTTAATTAATATGAACACGTTTTTAGCCTTAAATTCCACTTCAAACATTTAAGGCGTCAAAATCTAATGATAAAAATAAAACTTGATGTTTTTAAGTAAGTGAACCTATAGTTAAAAGTCCAAATTTTATCAACACGTAAAATATAATAGGTAATCATGTTACAATAATAATTTAATTAATTTTATTAAAAGTAACAAATATATTTTAGGGTTATTCAGATAAATTTTACCTTTTAAATTTTTTGCCCTTGATAATTTAAAAACAGTTGTCAAGTTGGTCGCATTGATTAAAACAAACTAAGCTAGTTATAAATCTAATTGTGGTTATGTATAAATTATTGTAGGTTAAATTGTGCAGTTGTCAAGTTGAGTTTTTGAAATTCGTAGTTAAAAATGCAATTAATTTGGCTTTGGCACCACCAAATTGGTGGTGCTTGGATGAGTAAAATCATATAAAAAAGTAGTTAAATATAGGTTGCTTTAAGAAGAAGTATTTCTAGCGGATAATAAATAATCTTCGCTTTGAAAAGAATTTATATAAAAGAAATTAATTTTTTTTATGAACGTAAATGTTGTACAATGGTGAATAATGTGAAAATAATGTGTGAAGTAATATTTATAAAACCAAATTCGTTACTTTTTTACCCCAAAATTGTCCATAAGGCGATGTACTTTTTCTTCCATTGTGGCATTTGGCATAATTTCATCAAAATTAAGTTTTACCTTCAAAAGGGCTTTTACATTCGAATTCGTTGCTATTATTTTTAGCATAATTATCTTTTTATTTATAATTGACAAGTAAGTTATCAATAAAAAATATTATTGTCAATTTGACAGTGTCAAATTATTAAATTAAATTCTTTAGCAGAAGTACCATTTTTAAATACTAAAAATAACAAGTCAAACTGGCATAAGGCACCAACCTAACAAAAAAAAACAAGAGTCCAGATAAAACAAAATGAACTGTATATTCTATAGTAAAAAACAAGCTTTTTCTTTTATTAGGAACATTCTTAGTAAAGGAATAATAAACAAAAATATTTATTTATTTATATTCAAAACAACTAATCTTAATATTAATGTTTGACAATCCTTTCAACGATTTTTTCGAATGCTTTTGCTGAAGGAGACTCAGGCAACTCCTTCACACAAGACTTCCCCAAAAGTTGACCTACTCTAGGATCTATAGGTAAAGTCCCTAGAACATCTATTTCTGCTATTGTCGCTAGGGCTTCGCCCCCACCTTTGCTGAAAATGTTTGTACATTCTGTACAATGGGGGCAAACAAACCTATAAAAAAATGTTATGTTTAAGAATCTCATTATAGGCAACCCAGATAGCGTTGTGCAGTTGTTGCCTATCTTAGGCATTAAAATCGTATTTTCTCACCCGCTCATATTCTCTATAAGGCCTATAATGGGGATTCCAGTCTTTTTACAAAAAGTTATCTCCTTTCTTACATCCTCAATAGAAACTTCTTGAGGTGTGGTGACAATTACAGCCCCATCAAATTTAACGTTCTTTAAATTTTCCATAACTGTTATATGTTCATCAGAAGTACCTTTAATAAAAAACATGCTTTTACAACATACATTTCATCAAAAAAATAAATATTTACCTGGTGGTGTATCAATTATTAAATAATCGAGCTCCCCCCAGCAAACATCAGACAAAAATTGTTTTACCATAGCCGTTTTCTTTGGACCCCTCCACACCACTGCTTTATCACGATTCCCCAGTAAAAACCCTATAGACATAACTGCCAACCTTTGTTCTTTATCGGCATACACAGGAACCCATCTGAAAATTAAAATTACAACCACAATCAAAATTGTTTCAAAAATTCACCCTTTGTCTGATTGGTGTACATCCTTATCTTCCAATTGCAACAAATATGGTATACTCGGTCCACACAAATCAATATCCAACAAACCCACCTAAAAAACTATAATTATAAACAAAAATTTTAGTATTGAATTGTGCTCACCTTATAACCTTGTTCTTTGAATGTCAGCGCTAACTGGGTGCTTACAGTCGACTTACCAACCCCACCTTTACCTGAAAGCACCAGAATTACGTGTTTTACACTCTCCAACATTTTTAAAGCTTAAAATTACGTAAAAACAACACGGCGGTTTCGTAAACCTAACCTCAAAATGTGAAACGTCAAAAGTAGTTTAAATGTACCATTATTTGAACTACTTTTGATTTACTTTGGGTTATTTGTGTTTTTATTCAATAATTATTGATTAATTTTTCCTTAATGTATTATTAATTAGTTAATAATATTGCTAAAATGTTATAAATCTGTAATTTAGTAATTTTATTAAATGTTGCCCGGCAACCAAGTGTACTTGAATGTCAACAAACGTTATTGTTGCAATTCTTGAAAAAAGCTTTTAAAATGGTATGATATGCTATTTTAGCTTCACATTATTCGTAATTAATGTTTTTTTTTAGATTTTGAGCAGGTCTAAACCAGCTTTAGGCTCTAACAGCGATTCTGCCAAGGGTAAAAGGGGAGGAAATTTACCAAACAAAAATACATCTCAATTTGAGGATTATTTAAGTAAAAGAGATTATGCAGGTGCTATAACACTTTTGGAGGTATAATAAAGTGTTTTGAATTGTGTAATAAGTTTGTATGTTGTGTTTTTTTAGTTTAAAGAAGCACCTGATCAAAATGGGTTGTTTTATCTCTGGATGGCCTATTGTGCCTTTCACAAGGGGGATTATAAGAAATCTTTGTCTATTTATCAGAATTTATACAAGAATAATCCAGATTTGGCAAATTTGGCGGTTAATATAGCCTGTTGTTACTTTTATTTAGGTTTGTACAATATATTATGTATTACAGCTAGGTTGATGTATTTTTGCTTATAACTCGCTTTGTATATGTCGGAGATAAAAATGACGTATATAAAAATTGTAGATCTTTTAATTCTCTGTAAAAAATATTATATACATTTTTTGCGTAAAATAAACCGTTTAGGAAATATTGCACACTATAGGACTGATACATTTTTTATAAAATTAAGGTATGTATGAAGAATCAAAAGAAACTCTGCAAGAATCGCCGACAAGTGGGCTGAAAGTAAGGCTGAATTTTCACCTTTCGCATAAATTACGCGACGAAAGTGCCTTGATGGAGAGCCATCAGCAATTACAGGACGTCGCTGAAGATCAACTTAGCCTGGCAGCCATCCATTATCTGAGAGCGCACTATCAAGAAGCCATAGACATCTACAAGCGCTTGCTGCTGCAGAATCGGTACGTCACTGGTCGACCTTGTCGTCTAGGCACCTTGACGTCAAGGTGCAGAGACGACGAGGTGTTCTCGTTTTTTGTTTTAGGGATAATTTGGCTTTGAATGTGTATGTAGCTTTGTGTTACTACAAATTAGACTACTACGATGTATCTCAGGAGGTGTTGGGATTGTATTTGAGTCAATATTCTGACTCCGTTATTGCGACCAATTTGAAGGTAATATATATTGTGTTTAGTGATGATATTAAGCGCTTTATTTCAGGCGTGTAACTCCTTTAGATTATATAATGGTCCGACGGCTGAAAATGAGATTAGAAGTATTGTGGATCAATGCGCTAACGAAGGGTTTGGTTATGACTTAATAAAACACAATTTGGTGGTGTTTAGGGATGGTGAGGGCGCAATGCAGGTAATATACGTCGAAAAATACAACAATAAAAAAATTTAGTTTATTAATTTCACAGGTTTTCCCAGGATTAGTGGACGTAGTACCTGAAGCTAGATTGAACTTGGTAATCCACTATTTACGTAATAATGACACCAAAGAGGCATATGACTTGTTGAAGGATTTACAACCGTCTGTACCTCAAGAATATATTCTTAAAGGTGTGGTAAATGCGGCGTTAGGACAAGATATCAATTCAGTAAGTAACTTTTACCTTCAATAGTTTTCTCTTTGTATACATTAGGATTATTCGTTTTGAAGGAGCATTTTATTAATTTCCTATTGTTTGGCAATTTTACGGCAAAACGGTTAGAGTAACAGGTAAAAAGTATAAAATAATTTTATAGGAAATTTAATTTACTACAAAAAAGGTTCAATGCATTAATTCTATAAAGGGTATGTCTCATTTAACTTTAAATTCCAGATATAACTTTTTAAGTATTTTTGATTGTTCAAAAAATTATATTTTTTTGGATTTTTAAATTCAGTAAACCTTTGCAAGTATATACCTACCAAAAGCAGTACAGTTTTTACCCATTTTATCTTTTTTTTAAGGTTTTAAGCAAAATATCAAGTCATCTACGCCACCAATTAAAAAAAATATTTAAATTTAAGTTTAAAATTAATTAAATAGTTTTTAGTATATATCATTATTTATTATCAAAATACAGTACGTACTTTTATTACTCGTCACCTTCGTTGCCGGTTTTATTAGACTACTGCGTTTTTTTATATATAAAAAAACGCAGTAGTCTAACAAAACCGGTAACGAAGGTGACGAGTAATAAAAGTACGTACCTGCTCCAACAGAATCAAGTAGAATTTTCTGGAACAACGACAATAAATAAACCACCTACACGTTTCCAGATGCAAAATAAGACTGATTCACTGCTCTAGTCAGGGTGGAACCCTGGCTCTAGTCAAGAACGTTTGACCAAAAATCATCCCCACCAATATTCCATTTCGTAAATAATAGTAAGTGGCGTAGATGACCCTTACCTTATGGGACACAATATCTAGAGTCTTAAAAACTAAACAAATTATTAAAAAAAACTAAAATTTGATAAATTGGGTGAACTTGATGTTTACTCTATGAGTTTATAAGGTTAAACTTAAGAAACAGTGCAATTTACATTTAAAAAACTATTTTGCACATTTAGTTTCGGGTGAGGGACCGGTAGTGTAGGTGACATTATAAATTTTCCAATTAAATAAAAATATATTTTATATATTTTTTACAATTTATTTTATATAAATGCGCTAAAGAGCATGATAGTTTTTAAGTGATGTCCTAAAAACTTGCAAAATATTATTATTTAAAAAAATATTTGGCCGGGACAGGTCATTTTTAAGTTAAATGAGACATACCCTAAAATGCATGCATAGTTTAAAGGATATAGAGCAATTAATACATTGTACTGTCAAATATCGTCAATATAATAAGTCCCATGTTGTTTTACGGCAAAACGGTTAAAGATAGGGGTAAAAAGTAAAAAAAAATTTATTAAAAAATCAATTTCCTACAATAAAAGTCCTATGCATTAATGCAGAAAAATTCATAGTTTAAAGGATATAGAGCATTTAATACATTGTACTGTCAAATATCGTCAATATAATAAGTCCTATGTTGTTTTACGGCAAAACGGTTAAAGATACGGGTAAAAAGTAAAAAAAGTTTTATTAAAAAATCAATTTCCTACAATAAAAGTCCTATGCATTAATGCAGAAAAATGCATAGTTTAAAAGATATAGAGAATTTAATACAATGTACTGTCAAATTTCGACAATATAATCTCCTATGTTGTTTTACGGCAAAACGGTTAAAGATACGGGTAAAAAGTAAAAAAAGTTTTATTAAAAAATTAATTTCCTACAAAAAAGTCCTATGCATTAATGCAGAAAAATTCATAGTTTAAAAGATATATAGTAAATTTAAAAGTAAACTACGTACACGTCATCAATCAGCTGATCGGGCACGGTTGTCAATGTGATGCTAAAATCCTTGCATCAAGGGAAAGTGGTAGTGCAACTACAGGGCGATAGATGGCGTTTACATGAATAATACCAAAATGTCAAAAGTCCGAGTTTTTATAACCTATATGATGCACCGCCAAAACTATGTTTTTAGCCATTTTTAAAGACATTTTCTGATATAAAACCCAAAAATTTTGCCATCTAAAGTCAGTCTCTGGTATATATATTATTATTTCATGTATCCAACATATATTTTGTTAAATATTCTAATATATAATTAATAATAATCCTATTTACCTCTCTAACAGCTGTTAAAGGTAACAAAGGTCCATTATTATCCCGTTCTGCCTCAAAATAGCGTATTAAGGATGACACCAACTCTTGACTCCGACTATTTAAATGCTTTGGCATTTTAAATATAGGAAACACAAAACAACGATATATAACAAACACAAAAACGGCAATGAAAACTTAAACGATATAAAATAACACAAACAACAAACAAAATAAACGAAATAATACACGAATTAAAAGAAATATTCAAAAACACAACTGACAGCTTCGAAATTCTAAAACGTCAAATTCTTTTTTATGTGTCATTTAAATATGAAAAATTTGAATGTAAACATGACAACATCACAATTGTTGCCAACTTAATTTGGTTAAAATGCATTCAAATATTCAATTACAGACTTCGATTTAGTCATTTAGTGTTGGTACCAATGCGTAAAATTTTTGTTTTATTGATGACGTGTACGTAGTTTACTTTTAAATTTACTATAGAGCATTTAATAAATTCTACTACTGATAAATTAACAATGTATTAAATGCTCTATATCTCTTAAACTATGCATTTTATGGAATTAATGCATATAATCTTTTTTATAGGAAATTAAATTTCCTATAAATTTTTTTTATACTTTTTAGCTGTATCTCTAACAGTTTTGCCGTAATATGCAAGAAAAACTGTTTAAACTTTAAGGGAATTTTGTTTTCGATATTTAAATGTTGATGACATGTTTTAGCATGTCCATATCAAAACTGCCGAGGAGTGCTTCAATTTGGTTGGTAGCTCTTCAAGCGAGTGCGATACAATTCACGGCAGACAGAGTATGGCGGCAACTTTTTTTCTCTCGGGGCAATTTGAAGAAGTTTTGGTTTACTTAACGTCTATCAAGAGCTACCTCCACGCAGGTTGGTGCTTGTTGATAAAAACCAGCTGAGTATTTATTTGAAAAATTTCAGATGACACTTTTAATTTCAACTTTGCGCAAGCCAAAACGGCCTGCCATCAGTACAAAGAGGCAGAAGAAGTATTTCTCTTGATCAAAAACCATAAAATGAAGCAGGATTACGTTTACATCTCGAACTTGGCCCGCTGTTACGTCATGAACCGCAAAGCGCAGTTGGCCTGGGAGCTGTACATCAAAATGGAGAGCAGTCCTGACAGTTTCAATCTCCTGCTTCTAATAGCAAACGATTGCTACAAAATCGGGGAGTTCTGGTATGCGGCTAAAGCATTCGACATGCTGGACAGGTTGGAGCCCAACCCGGAGTTCTGGGAGGGGAAGAGGGGGGCCATAGTGGGGGTCTTCCAGATGGTGATCGCCAAAAAGTTCTCCGTTGAGGGGTTGGGGGACATCCTGCAGCTATTAAGGGGCAGTTCCACAGCGCAAGCCGAGAACATTGCCAGGGTTATCAGGAGGTGGGCCAAGGAGCAGAGGCTACCAATCGCTTAATAAAAATAAAATGTTTTTTAAGAATTTCTTGTTTTATTTAGAATAATAGTTTTATAAAAACATGCAAAAATGTATAGTAATTGGACATTTATTTAGTAATTGGACAATAAATTGTTAAATAAGTTTTAAAGACAAATTGCTGTTTTAGAAAATTTTTTTATTTAATTTTTTGTAAATATCATATAATTCATATTTTTCTTTCTCGGATTCGTCATTCCTTTTACAAAATGCATTCGTGCAGGTGCAAAAATCCTCCTCTTCGACTCGGATTTTTGTTGCCACCAGCACTCATGCTTTTTGTTAAAATATTACTTAGCAACGTATTTTTTCGATTCTTTTCGGAAAAATTAAATGCCCTTATGATATTACTTACGATAATATACTATTACTATTTAAATTACCTATTTTTAGGTGACCTAGATCTGGTAATTAATTTTTGTCACGTATTAGTTAAAAAGTTATTTTGTTACCTACCAATTATTCCATTAGATTTTTTTTGAAGAATTTGTGCTTTTATTATTTTTAAATTTTTGTAACGTTTTTACCATTAAAACAACCATTTTTTTGCATTAAAAATTAAGCAAAATTCGATGTTAGGTGTATACACCAAAAATAAAAATACTGTATGCCCAAACCGTAAAAAATATTATAATTTTTTGGAATTATTTTAATAATCAATGAATCATGTGAATTTACCAGAATGGTTGTTATCTAATCATTTCCAAAAAAATTTATAATTAATTCACTCCACAATGTTATCACAAATACCTTCTGGGAAGGAGTCTATTAACTAGGCAGATAACAGGTAACTAAATAAATAAAACAAAAAAGAATATAATAAATAATTTAATTTTTTTGCTAAAGAAATAAATACTTTTGCTAGAATTCGATTATTCTCTTAAAAAAATAAATACATCCACTTATTTACAAATACTTAGTCTGTTAATCTCAACATTAGTATTTACAATTAAATCAAATTATAAAAAAAAACATCAGACTAGATTTTGCATTTAAAAAACTATTTAAATGAGTAGTAGTTAGCATAAAACTAGTACATAGAATAAATAATAAAAATTACATACATAGGTTTGAGATTATATTACCTATAATAAATGCGGATGAACGGTCAATAAATAAATGAAAGTGCACATAGTTATATTACAATAAATATCAGTATAAAAAATAAAACAACGTAGTATTAAGCACTATTTACATGGACCAATGTGGCCCAAAGATTTTTATTTTTATTAACAATAGGGGGCGCTTCTATAGAAAATGATTTCGTGGTCTGATTGGTTCATTGTTTCTTCCTATGATGATGAAAACTCACAAATCTTCGAATATTCGGATCAGCGATAGTTGGTGGTATTGTTTCTTCCTAAGGTGGTAACCCAAAGAATGTCAAATTTTCAACGGAAAACCCCATATCTTCTAATAGACAGAATTCGGAAACTTGGAATGTATTTAAAATAACCAATGAAAAATCATTTTCTATAGAATGATGCCGATCCAAATAATTTTAACTGGTAAATGATGACAGGCAGTTTGGGACGACGTCAGAGCGCGAATTAACCTAATTCATTTAGAATACTCGAATGGTGTTCATCAGTATGTATATGGTACTGATATTAGAGCCGCACGCGTTATAAGAAGTACGGGTACTCGGATAGGTACTTCTTGAGGCTGCTGGGCAGATCTAGTTGATTGTGCGGCTCGGGTAGAATCGATAACTTTGGTTTTATCGATTTTTTTAGAGCTTTATGCACTGCCACTCTGGCGAGGTGCTTCAAGGAACAAGGTTCAGCTTTGTGGATTAAAGGCTTCTCCAGGATTATGCTGGAGTACCATTTGCCTTCCGGGTCCACCCACACCTGCGCGTTATTGCTCACTTTACTCTGAGTGACGTAGTGCTGCACCAACTCGACTACGCTCGGGAACATCGGCATCACCGCTTGCAGATGCTGCTGCGCGTCCAGTCTGAAGTACCCGTTGATGTAGTACAAACGCACCGAGGTTGGTCCTTTTTCAGTCTGCACACTCAAGGAGAAGAGAAACCGCGGGTCCGAACTGTTGCGCACCAAGAAAGTCCCCACTTCACTGTCTTTCAATAGAGTGTTAGCTTGCTCGAAGGAGATGCCTTCGTAGTAGAACCCGGAAAGCCTCAACTCCTCCACTATGATGCTTAGTCGTTGCAGCTCTATTTCCGGTTTCACGATCACGGGCGGCTTCGTCGGTTGCAAGGGGGCGCCGGCGAACGAAGGGATGATGAAACTCAACGGCGCACTCGGGGAGACTTGCGGGGAGGCGCAGCCGCTCCCAGGCAAGCTCACCGGCAGGTTCAGATTCATGTTGAAGTTGAGGTTGTTCGAGCTGCTCCTCTGCTGCGCGGCCAGCAGGCTGGGCAGCGGCGTGCGCATCATGTTCGATATCTGCTGCGCTTGCAGCTGCGCGAAGTGCTGCGCGAAGGCGGGATGCTGCGCAAGCGCGCCCAGCTGCGCGAACGCCGGGTGCTGCGCAATGGAGTTGGTTCGGTTGGCGCAGCATTGCGGCTCTTGTTGCGCGGGGCAACAGGGGAACTCGTGCTGGCAATTTGGACATACCGTACTACAGCCTAACATTGCACGACAATGCCATACCCAGCTTTCCAAATCAGTCTGCAACAAGAGGAAAAGAAAATTAGTTATTAGGTCTTCTATTGCGCTTTTATCATCCTAAAATGACTAATAACATTCTCAAAACTTTACAAAGCCTATTCCAGAATTTCAAAAACAAGTTTCATAAAACATTTTTCCATGGACGCTAAACTGCATATTTTGGTAGAACAATTATACAATTATTATAATTATAAATTTACAAAGCAAACTTCAGAATGTCGAAAACAGGTTTCAGAATGTTGAAAACTCATTTAAGAGTAAAAAAATTATTTGAAAACTATTATTGACGCTAAAATGCATATTTGCTATTGGTAGAAGATTTTTGTAAATTCTGAAGAATGTCAAAACAGGTTTCAGAATGTTGAAAATTCATTTAAGAATGAAAAATATTTTCATTTGAAAACTATAACAATTTTTGACGCAGAAATGAATATATTTGTAGAAGAGTTATATAAATTTACAAAGCATTCTAAAGAATGTTAAAAACAGGTTATAGAATGTTAAAAACTCATTTTAGAATGAAAAATGTTGTCATTTGAAAACTATTGTTAAAACTAAAATGTATATTTGCTATTGGTAGAAGAGTGATATAAATTTACAAAACATTCTGAAGAATGTCTAAACAGGTTTCAGAATGTTGAAAACTCATTTAAGAATGAAAAATATTTTCATTTGAAAACCATAACAATTTTTGAAGCTGAAATGAATATACTGGTAGAAAAGTTATATAAATTTACAAAGCATTCTAAAGAATGTCAAAAACAGGTTTCAGAATGTTGAAAACTCATGTAAGAGTAAAAAAAAAATTTGAAAACTATTATTGACGCTAAAATGCATATTTGCTATTGGCAGAACAGTTATGTAAATTAACAAAGCATTCTGAAGAATGTCAAAACAGGTTTCAGAATATTGAAAACCCATTTAAGAGTAAAAAAAGTTCATTTGAAAACTATTATTGACGCTAAAATGTATATTTGCTATTGGTAGAAGATTTATGTAAATTTACAAAGCATTCTGAAGAATGTCAAAAACAGGTTTCAGAATGTTAAAAACTCATTTAAGATTGATACCTAAATTTTTTCACTAGAATGATAATTTTTGACGCTGAAATGAATATATTGTAGAAAAGATATAGAAATTTACAAAGCATTCTAAAGAATGTCAAAAACAGTTTTCAGAATATTGAAAACTCATTTAAGAGTAAAAAAAAGTTCATTTGAAAACTATTATTGACTCTAAAATGTAAATTTGCTATTGGTAGAAGAATTATATAAATTTACAAAACATTCTGAAGAATGTCAAAAACGGGTTTCAGAATGTTGAAAACTCATTTAAGATTGATACCTAAATTTTTTTCACTAGAATAACAATTTTTGACGCTGAAATGAATATATTGGTAGAAAAGATATAGAAATTTACAAAGCATTCTAAAGAATGTCAAAAACAGTTTTCAGTATATGAAAACTCATTTAAGAGTAAAAAAATCATTTGAAAACTATTATTGACGCTAAAATGCAAATATGCTATTGGTAGAAAAGTTAAGTAAATTTACAAAGCAGTCTGAAGAATGTCAAAGCAGGTTTCAGAATGTTGAAAACTCATTTAAGAGTAAAAAAATTCATTTGAAAACTATTATTGACGCTAAAATGTATATTTGCTATTGGTAGAAGAGTTATGTAAATTTACAAAACATTCTGAAGAATGTCAAAAACAGGTTTCAGAATGTTGAAAACTCATTTAAGATTGATACCTAATTTTTTTTTCACTAGAATAAGAATTTTTGACGCTGAAATGAATATACCTATTGGTAGAAAAGTTATATAAATTTACAAAGCATTCTAAAGAATGTCAAAAACAGGTTATAGAATGTTAAAAACTCATTTTAGAATGAAAAATGTTGTCATTTGAAAACTATTATTGAAACTAAAATGTATATTTGCTATTGGTAGAAGAGTTATACAAACCATTCTAAAGAATGTCAAAAACAGCTTTCAGAATGTTGAAAACTCATTTAAGAATAAAAGTTTTATCATTTGAAAACTATTATTTACCCTAAAATGTATATTTGCTATTGGTAGAACAATGTCAAAAACAAGTTTCAGAATGTTGGAAATTCATTCAAAAAGAGTTTTCACTTGAAAACTATTTTTGACGTTAAAATGCATATTCGCTATTTTTAGAAAAGTAATATAAATTTTCAGGCTCCACAGAGGGATTGATATTTTAACAAAGTCGTTTGATATTGCAAATTTTCTTTCGAATATTTCCAAGTAAATACATAAAAACGCTTTATCTTAGAAACCATAAAACTGAGAAACCTCAAGTTAAAGACCAACATAACGTTTT